CTCTCTCTCTCTCTCTCTCCTCTCTCTATCTCCCTCTCCCCCTCCCTCCCTCTCTCTCTCTCGTCGCCCCACACAGTATTCGGACCTCGCGAGAAAAATGGAAGAAGGACGCGGTTGCAGTTTCCACAGTGGGACTTCCAAGATTGCCGTAATGATCTCTCTCTCTCTCTCTCTCTCATTCTTTTTGTGTGTATGCTGAAGCCGCGAGGAAAAGGGAAGAAGGACGAGATTGCCGCTTGTGCACATTTGGAGTCATGTACGCATACAGGAGGGACGCACGCACATGTGTATATATCTGCACGGACAGACCGGCAGGGTGAAGGTTGAGCAGAAGTATGCGATTGTCGGGTAGATTTCCGAAGAAAGAAAGGAAAAAAGGCCGTCTTTGTGTTTCTGCTTACCCCGCTGAGTGCCACTCTATGTAGTCTCGCTGGCTGCAGGCTCCGCTAAGTGGGTTGGGCGTGGGCCTATGTGGGTTGGGTGTGGTGCTATGTGGGTTGCCCGGGCGAAGTGCTATGGGGGATGGGTGTGGTATTATGTGGTACTATTTAGCGGTGTTACGAGGTACTATGTGGTGCTATCATGGTTCTTTATGCAGGTTGGGCGGGGGAACCTTTTTTTTTTTTTTTTTTTTTTTTTTTTTACAATCAAACCATCAGTTAGCCTTCTAGGTGGCGTGGGTGTGGTATGCTATGCGGTAGGATGTGGCAGTATTATGTGATACTATGCAGTGCTATGTGGTACTATGTGGCGCTATGTGGTACTATGCGGTTCTATGTGGTACTATGTGGTGCTATGCGGTGGTATGCGGTGCTATCATGTGGTACAGCATGCTATGTGGTACTATGTGATACTATGCAGCGCTATCAGGTGGTACAGCATGATATGTGGTACTATGTGGTGGTATGCGGTACAGCATAATATGTGGTACTATGCGGTGGTATGCGGTACTATGCAGTGCTATGCGGTACTATGTGGTGGTATCATGCTGTACTATGCTTTCCTTAAACCGCTAGTACATGGCCCCAGCCTTGAAGAAAGTTTTTGTTGCCACAAGGAAAACTCGGAGGCACCTCGCGGCATGGGGAGCCGTTGAAAAAAAAAATCTGCGGCCTCCGAAATGGTGCTGGTTTCATGCTGACACCAGCGGGCCTATGTGTGGTGTACTGGTTTCATGCTGACACCAGTATGCTGACACCCGTACATGCCAGCTATCGGCCACGGCCCCTTTCGGAGGTCGCCCACCGCCGATTCTATTTCTCTAACTGACTGACCTCTACAACACCCTGGACTTTATTAAAAAAAAAAAAAAAAAAAAAAAAGTACGCCATGAATTGGCGTGATTTAGGCAGAAATTTCAAGCTCTTGAGGGTCCGGCATCCTTAAAACGCCGAACCCCTTGCATGTATCTGGACTTAGCTGGAGTGCAGGTTCTGAAAACTCCGTACCCCCTGGATGTATCTGGACTAAGCTTGCATCCAGGGTTTAGGGCGTTTGCATCCAGGGTTTAGGGCGTTTTCAGAACGCCGTACTCCCTGGATGTATCTGGACTTAGCTTGCATACAGGGGGGAGGGCGTTTTCAGAACTCAGTAACCTCAGGAGCTGAAAATGCCGACCTCAATCCGGCCAATTTATGAGTTTTCAATTTCGTCCAGGAAATAAGATATGTCCGTTTTGATGAAAAAATTGCTGTTACGTACCTACCGCTACTCGTAAGGCTGTACAGGGGACCCCTGCAAGCATACCCTTTTTTTTTTTTTTTTTTTTTTTGTTGCAAAACCCTCGTCTCGTCAGTGTTAGTGGTGCTGGTAAGAGCAGACACCACTAGCACCCGGGGGAGGGGCTCTGTCTATTGGTGGGGAGTGTCACCTGCTGGAAAACGGGCCCAGCGTCCCTTATACAGGCTTTCCAAATGAAATACATCAGATCATAGTATGAGAGGGTCCTGCCAGCCTGCAACCATACCGATCTGCCTCTCTTGGGGAAGGGAAGTCACCTCTCTCGTTCCCGTCCACCCCCCAACCCTTCTTTTCTTTTCGGGAAAATTGCATCTGTATCCCACTTAAAGATGGGAATACGGGGTATACCCAGTCCCAGCGCCAACTTACATCTATACCCAGAAATCGGCGGGTGGGACTTCTTTGCATGCCCAGGACCCAGGTGGACCCAGGCTGGTACTGCAAAATGGCGGTTATAACCAACTGCCGGAATGCACAAATTACGGACATACCGAGGCAAAAACTTATGGGCATACCTGGGACCTGAGGAGGAGAGGCCAAATTGTTCATATACCTTGCTCCCCGGATGGCTGAAATTATGCTCATACCCAGCAGCCGTTGGGCCACAACGGTCTACTTGGTGGGCATGAGCGTAATTTCGTGCTCCATATCCCAGGGTGTGAGGGATTGGGTACACCTACAATTTCGCACAGGGCAAAAGCTGGGTACTGTGCAAAGTTGAACGGCCTCGGGGTATCGATGCAAGTTGGGCGCCGGGGACTGGGTATAGTGGGTATTCCCATCTAGGTCCCCCTGACGTCAAGAACCTCGGGGTACCGCTGGCGCCGTTTCACGACGGGTACCGGTCGTACAGCGTGGAAAACCGGGCGGGCCTCCGTACGAAATTTGTGACAAAAAATGGAAATAAACCGAATAGGCGCGGCGAATATTTCACCGTTGAAATGTTTTTGTTTTTTTTTCTGATATTTTTCCCTGAAAGATCACGACCTAATCTACGGACCCTCAAATTTTCAGATATTTTCAGGACTTCTTCTGAGCACAAAAAATCGGCAAAGTTGCCGGTTGCAAAATGGCGGGATTGGACCCATCGGCCTCCGTACAACCCGGCGCCTCCGTACGGTCGCCGCCCCTCCGTACAACCCGGCCCTAACTCACAGGGACTGGGGTTTTCTGTGGCGGGGGGACCTGTGGTTTAAGTGGAGTACAAATGTAATTTTCCCTTTCTTTTTTCCTCAGAAAAACCGGCCCTGTTGTTGGGCCTAGCTCCTTTTCTGGGGAGCATCACTGCTGTCCCTTTTCCACCCGCAAGTCTCAGACTGGTGGAAAACAATTACCTCGTCGGGCTCACCCCTTCAACGCTTCTCCATATTACGGGAGCCCGACAGGGAGAATCATTCAAGGGGTGAGCCCGGTAAGGAAGGGCATCTCGACAGGGAGGGAGGGTGGGAAGGGGAGGGAGGAGGGAGGAGGGAGGAGGGGGGCCCAGCTAACCCTTGCCAGCACTGATCACTGATTGCTTTCTAGGATTGACTGCCAGTCCTGCATCCACTTTTTTTCCAGCCTAGTTCCTCCCC